CCAACATTCAAACCGACGACCCAAGGTTCGTAGAGTCCATTCGCAAAGACTTCATAATCAAGGCTCAACAAAGTCTAGGCAAACCGGACAGTTGCCCAATCACCCCAAATTCTCCATTGGCCGTCTGAACGTCGTCATGACTGCAACTGACAGAATAACATTAAGCAAAAATAATATGTGCAGTATACAAGCCTGATCTGCCACATCGCCACATGCGCCCAGATCAAAATGGAATAAAGTAAAAACAACAACCTTACAGTCTAGTTCGTAATGAGATCCGTTTGCCAGAATAAATCGGACGGAAAATCGGTTATCCTCATCAGTAATAAAATTAAAGCTATAATAGCTTCGAAGCCTATGCGAAATTCTGTATTGATGAATAACTTACAAGCATATTTTGCCAAGTATGATCGTTAAGCCGGTCAAAAAACACATGCAATTCTTTGTAGTCGAGCTATTACATTAAATCGTCGTTGCTACGAGACCACCCAGGATAAAGTAAAGACATTAATTTTTGTTGAGCTGACTTCCATTTCAAGTTAAAGTGTTGGGTGAAGAGATTCGAAGGACGGTTCCACCAGAAAACGACTGCGGATTCCTTTTGACCAGCTGTCGATTGGCTTTACTAGAAGATTTCGGTGAAAAGTTGCTAAGCTTTCGTCCATCATATGACGGGCATCATCGGACATCGGACGAAAGCTCAGCACCTTGTTACCGGAATCGAAGGAGATTCCCTCGGAAACAGCGTCAGCATGAATCTTCCAGGAAAGCCAATCGACAGCTGGTCAAGAGGAATCCGCCGTCTTCTGCTGGAACCGACATTCGAATCTTTTCACCCAACACTTTCACTCGAAACGGAAGTAAGCTCAACAATTATGAAACAAGAGATTCCTCAAAACCCAACTTTTCTTCGCATACATTAACTTTTGTCAGGATTTGGTTTACTTTGAATCCCGAAGATAGGCCTCCGACTGACTGGAGGGGCAAACGTTAGCTAACCGGCTCCGTGCATCTTTAGACCTTAAAGTTTAGGCTCTGAATCCCGGCTTTAGTAGCTGATCAGACCAGAGCAAGGATGAAAACACGTTATGTCGTTGATGTAAACTTGGGTTCTAAGAACAAAAAGCATGGCAAACCTCTCCAAATCAGAGGGGGCAGTTTCATCAAGGTCTGTATAACGAATGCAGGATAAGCAAGATTTACTGTTAGCTTTTCCCCCATTACATTGATGAGTTGGCCCTTGCCCTTCAGGCAACAGTCATAGTACTTGAAAATGGTACGTGAAAATGTCTTATTCTGACTACATAATGAAGCAAAAGCTACAAGACATCCAAGAAGCATTGGATCCCAATGTTCTGCATTCCTTTTATCTAATCATCCTTATTGTACCCACCTCACTAATGTTTGCAGTGCTTGTAACAATGGGAATTGTAATCGAATTGATTACTGCCATATGTATAATGGTAATACCCTCGCATAATAATATCAGGAACTATGGTATATGTACCATTGCCTGACCTAAAATGATAGAAGTGATACGTGGTCGGTTATATAGTCATGGTGTGCTGGTCTTCTCTGGATGGAAATTGTATAGAAAAGCATAATGTTCAATGTTTTAAGGCCTTTGAGCTAAAATTTCCCTTCTTCTGCCTTGCTTGGAGAAAAGACTAGTAGCATTTCTTCCCTCCATGTGAGGATTAGTTTTCCTCTCCCCAATATGAAAGATTCTTCATTCACATACCTACCCACATACATTGTCTATGCGCTAGATGCGAGCAAATCGGTGATGCTTGTTTTAGACAGTGTTAAAAAAAGCTTGGCCTTTGAATGATTTTCATAGCCCTTCATCATGAATGGTATCCACATTCCATTTTTCTAAGAGTTACCAGGCCATAGGATAGTTTATCTTTCACTAAGACAATACTGAACTGAAACATGAAAGTGATCCACTTATTTTTCTTTTCATTTTCTCCTTCCCTCTACGTATATACTCTGCTCTCGGTGCTGAAACTCACCAGGCGAAGATTGGAACAAAATAATGCACGACTGCATGATCCAGCCGCCGTTTTGTCGAATGCGCGACACCTTCTGGCAGACCGACTGTGGCAATTTCCAAGCGGCTCTGGCCTACTTCTGCTCATTTTATATCATCATCACCTACATCATGCTTAACGTCCTTGTCGGTATGTTGCTAGGACTTCCATATTGGCCATTTAGTACATGTTTACATCATTTTTTATAAAGAGTGGTTGAATATGACAATTTCTTTCTAAACAGTAAAAGACGGTTACTTTTAATCTTTTCTCACCGGG